TAAGACGTGCTGCCCTTATCCCCTCACCCGCGTACAGTGCTGCTCTAAACCCTTTACCTCAAGGGGTGAAGCCCTAAACCCCTCACCTGCAAGCCCTAACCCCCTCACGAGCAAGCCCTAAACCGCTCACCTGCGTGGGGTGCTGGCCGGGCCCATCGCCCGCGTTGACGATGGGCACGGACGCCACTTGCGACGCCAGCTTCGCCGCGCCCTCCTCGTAGTGCCGCAGCACGATCACGTCCGCGTACGCCTCCACCGTGCGGATGGAGTCTGCACGGGAGAGGGGAGACGAGACGAGGACGAGATGGGCGGAAGGGGAAGGGGGAGAGGGAGGGGAGTTGATGGTTGTAAGGAGGGGTCTTGCTCGTAGTGCTGCAGCACGATCACGTCCGCGTACGCCTCCATTGTGCGGATGGAGTCTGTAAAGGAGAAGGGGAGGGGGGGGGGGAAGGGGAGGACGAAGGGGAGGTGCGGGGGATGGGAAGGGGGGAGGGAGGGGGATAGGAGAGGGAGTTGGTAGTGGTGAGGAGAGGTTCAGCAAGAAAGGGAACACAGGAGGAGGAGATGAAAGGAAGCCAGCAAGGACACAAAGGACTTTACCAACGTGGCCAATTCTTTGAATTCATGCTGTAGACTATACTGCTGAAAATCGGTCATTCTTATTCATTCCGTAACTAAGTACTTCGAATCCACTCTCCTCGTGCTGTACTATCTCTCCATTTCCTTTTCAACTAAATTTCTTCTACCTTTCCCCCCTTCCCCTCCTCCTTTTCCCCCGGTTTCCCCTCACTTCCTCCCGAACTCACCCGCAAGGCTCTCGCCCTTTGCAGCGGACGAGAATTCGCGCGCATTCTCCGTCGTCAGCACCTCGCCGCCGAGCCGCTTCATGGCGGATTCAAACGACAGCCGCGTGCGCGTGGACGGCTCGTAGAAGAGAGTCGCCATGAGGTACCCGCGCAGCATGTTGGAGCACCCCGCGCCGCCGCGCCCCTCCAGGATCTGCTGCATCTCGTCCGCCACCTCGAAGATCTCCGACAGCAAGTCGCGGTTGAACTGCTGCGCCTCGAGCACGTGCTCAAACAGCCGCTTCTCAACGGGAGGCTCCCGAAGCGCCGGAGACGGGGAAGGAGACAAGGGCGCTGCGGCGGTGCTTGTCGACGGAGTGGAGGTTTGCGCGACGGTTCGGGACCTGGGTGGTTCGGGTTCCGGCGCTGCGACTCGTGCGAGTGCCAGGCGACGTCGCGTCGGTTGTTGCGAAGCCTGCGAAAGTTGCTGTGCTGGCTGGAGGGATTTCGCAGACCGACGAAGCGATCCTGCACTAGACTTGAGCGACAGGAAATGCGGAGCGATTGCAGCCATGGCGACAGATGGCGATTAATTCCCGCTTCTGTGAGAAAGGATTCTTGCGAATAACGAAGAGAAGAAATACGATTGTTTTGTGGTTTAAGACAAATGTGATGGACTTGCGCAACGACGAGCAACGCAGAAGAGCGTGTCACGCGAAGGCGGTGGGCTTTCTGCGGGCTGGAAGAAGCCAAGAAGCGACCCTAGCGCCTGCCGCTGTTGTTAAGGTTTCAACTGTCGTCCGAAGGAAAGAGTGCCAGCCCGACACGGCGACCTAGGCACAACACTGGAGACGAGAAAGAAATGCGAGGCAAGCGGACTCGCAAGTGAAGGAAGACTCTCGACAAGAATCTTGTAGTACGTGTGACCCTGGTAATGGGGAAGGAATTTGCGGAAAGTCACGGGATGGTGTGGGTGAAACGGGATGGGAAATGAAGCAAAAGCCACGTGCTTCAGGGGAGATCCTCAACGTTTGGAGAAAACCACTGAATTTGCGCGGTGTCCCTGCTTGTCCCCTGAACCCTGCCATGCATGCTATGAAGTCCTGAATTTACAGGGCGCGTTTGGCCACCCTGAGGAGCTCTGGATTCTGTACTGGATGACCCGACTACAATAGCATTTCCCACACACTGTACACATAAATCCCCTCACATTTCCTAAGCAAGGTTTCCGCCTTGTACCCCACCCCCTCCCCCATACGCGAGTGTGAGGATGAATCCTAGCGGGCCCACCTTTCGCGACGTTTCTAGGCTTGGCGATTTTTTCCAAACAGTTACGCTGTTTCGCAGCCCTCGCGCAAGGCTGGAGTTCGCGTGCAGCTAGATGTCTTTTTTTTTTTGGGGGGACACAATACACTATACAATGCATTACATCCACAGTCGTAACTGTGAGTAAGGAAGTCACAGGCCATCCTGCTGAGGCTAGCGCTGTACTTCCTAACAGCCATTTACGGCGGTTTGAAGAAGGTTCTAGGGCTTTCCCAGATTGAGCTGAAGACCCTGTTCCACGTCAGTTGCTCGTTCTGTTCACATATACGGCCCAGTGCTGCCGCCTCTCCAGCTGTCAGATGATGCCATCCTCCTCCACCTCCACTCCCCCGATGTGCCCCTTTACCCCCACCCCCTTCAATGTAGATCCTGACATGCCTCCTGAAATTTGCCCCAATTTTTCTGACCACTCTTTTGGGCTCGAAACTTTCTTTCCGGAAGACCGCGTTACACCTCTCTAGCCAGATGTGTCTGAACGTGATCGCGATAAGTGTGGACTCCGGGAAACCTGTTGTCGTGCTGTCCGCAGCGAATAACAGCTCTCCCAGTGTCCCCACCGCCCTTGCTGGGTTCATCAGACGGAGTGAGTCCTGAAGCGCGCCACAAACCCCATTGACAACCGGGCAGCTCATCAAGCAGTGAGTCGATGATTCCTCCTGTTTGCAATATGGACAGCATGCACGGGAGCCAAAGAAGGCAAGCCGAGTGCCCACTTGCAGGTTGTGGCTGTGCAGCCTCAGCAGTACCTCTCTTGCTTTGGCGGGGATTGCCAGAGAGTCCCTCTTAGCAATGACCTTCTCCCAATCGATCTTTCCTCCCCAATGCTCTTCCCACTTTTTCTGCTGCTTGGGCTGCACCGTCGGTTTCCTGAGCAAGTGCCTTAACTTCCTTTGAGCTGCTGGTTTGCCTTCCTCACATAGGAACGAGACACGCAAGCGCGTCACAGGGTCACCAGCTTGCCCCAGCATATAGCCTCCTCTCGCCACCATCGGTGATAGTACACTTAGTCGTGCCGGTGGCTGCGCCGTTATCCCCAACTGCATGATTTTGCCTTTGCAGTCCACTTTCACTCTTTCACACTTCAGCTCCTCGTTTTCCGCCAGCACCACTTGTAGGAAGTTCTGGCATCCTCCCGTCGGCTTTCCCACGCTAACCAAGGTAGTGGTCTCTGCGATTTCTGCCGCTGACACCCTTGTAAGTAGTTTATTTTTCCAGCTCTCCGGGACTGCTTTCCATGCCGCGAGCGCCCACCTCGCCGTTGACGACCTCCCCGTCTGTTTGGTAAGCGTCCATAGGTCCTTCACGCTCCTGTCGCCGTCATATTCTTCTCGTAGTAGGTCTCCCACCACCATCCCTTTCAGGCATTCCGAGCCCTTTTGCCTCCCAAATGGGCTGTTACCCTGATAGTGGATCCATCTGCTGAACCACAGATGCTCCTTCTCCATCTCCCACCTGTCTGCAGGTTCCGGCAGCTCCGGCAACTGTTTCTCCCATATTAACGGCACCAGCGCATGCCATCGCTCTCCTCCGCCTTTCCACTCCGCTAAGATAGCCTTGTGTGCAAGCAGCGTTGCCCATCCCAGAGGCATATTCGCCGCCTTTTCCATCAACCACTGCTTCATCGGGTTCTCTTCCAGCAGCATTGCCCCCAAGTTGCGTAGTGCCTGACTGTTGATCCTCTCTGTCGGACTTATCACCCCAAGTCCCCCCTCCTTCCTTCCCAGGTGGGCCAAGAACTCACTCCAGAGGATGAAGTGCTTCTCCTCATCTGCACACCCTTTCGAGATGAAGTTGTGACACAGCTTCAGAATCCGCTTCCATATCTGCTTCGGCGGCTGGTAAATTTGTGCCTGGAACAGTATTATCGGCATCACGTAGACATTCAAGACCGTCACTCTCGCCGACGTGGTCAGGTGTAGCTTCTCCCAATTGCGAAGTATCGTGTTTACTCGCACTAAAGCTCTGTCCCATGTCGGTTCCGCACTTCCATCCGCCGTAATCCAAATGCCAAGCAATCTCTCCGGTTTGTCTCTCTCTGCCCAGCTGAAACTCGTGTCTGTGTGTGGTGGTTGCAGTCTGTTCTTTCCCAGCGGCATCACCGTTGACTTCCCTTGGTTGACCCTCAGCCCGGACTTGACGCTGAAGTCATCCAGTAACGTCTGCGCCTTTCCAAGTTGTTCTTTGCCCTGGAGTAGTAGCGTCGTATCATCCGCGTATCCCAGGTATGCCAGCTCTCCTTTCCCCCTTTTCTTTAATCCCAGTTTCCTCCTCTTTGCCTCCTGACTTAGTGGTTCCGCTGCGCAGATGAAGAGGTATGGTGCCAGCGGGCAGCCTTGTCGTACTCCTGACTCCATCACCACCTTATCGCCCATCCAGCCGTTAACCAGAAGTTGCGTCGCTGCCTGTTCGTGCAGCCCTTTAGTCCACCGGATGAAAGCCTCTGGGAAGCGCATACGTTTGCAGCTAGATGTCGTCCATCCACAGCCGCTTATAATGACACCACCGTCCACATCATTTCCTCGCAATGCTGGCTCTCCATCCCGCCTCGTCCTTCTATCGCCGCGTCGCCTTCACTAGGCTCCCGTGTGCCTCTAGTAGCTGTCGTTCCGCAAGCAACTTCCAGCTGTCCAGCTTTCTGTCCGCTCCTTGCTTTTTTGGAGGATTCCACCGTTGCGGGCATTACTCATCTAACAAAACCCGTTTCCGCAACGGCTCGGTAATCGATCGTTTCGCGTCTTTCGCACGTTCCTCTGCGCAATTTCCGGAATTCGATTCGTCTGCGAGCACCCTCGCACGCGGCATGTCGCAGCACGCGTCCACTCCGGCGGAGGGGCAGCGGACGCCGCGCCAGGCGCCGCGCAGTCAGAGGAGGACAGCATTCCGGGGATGATGGAGGTGCGGCAGCTGCTGACCGACGACCCATCCGGTGAGCCTCTCTCCAATTCATGGGGCGAACGTAGGAGGACTGGGACTGTGCGATGACTGCTGCGACGCACGCCGTCGCACAGGCTCAATGATTTCCGTCCTCATTGTCTGCGTCCGTGCCAGTGCGTTTGCGCTGTTTCCCCTCAATCATTCGCACCCCATCATCCGCACCCCAAGGCGCGCCGAATCATTCTGTGGAAATTGCTTACGGTACCCTGGCGCTGGCGTGGTTGATTGCCCCCTCCATCCTCGCTTCTCTATCGCCTCCACGCGCCGCTGTCTCTCCCTCCGCATCCCACGGAAAATTCCTAACCCTCATTTTCATCCCCTCCCACACCCGGGCGCCAGGCGGGTGGGACAAGGCGTGGCAGGCGAGCACGACGCCGTGGGACCTGGGCGGCGTGACGCCGGCTGTAGCGGCGCTTGTGGCGGCGCCAGAGGGGTCGCCGCTGCACCTGCCGCCCTCCATCCGCCGCGTGCTCGTCCCCGGCTGTGGCACCGTGAGTGCCTTGCGCCCGGCTGTGGCACAGGAATGCGCAGTGGTTGTATTACGAAAGACGTGAACCGGGCTGTAGCAAGAGGGGGGAAAGGTAAAGGCATGCACGATGATTGCCCTTTGGTGCTATGATTTCTCTTTGGTGCTATAATTTCTCTTTGGTGCTATGATTGCTCTTTGGTGCGATGATTGCTGTTTGGCTGATTGTCTAAAACTTTCCATGCCCACGGCGTAACACTGCATGCTGTCACGTGGGTCCATGGCATGGCATGGCATGGCATGGCATGGCATGGCATGGCATGGCATGGCATGGCATAGGGAGGTTCTGGATACCATGGCATGGCATGGATGTCATGGCATGGCACCGAATGATGTTGATTACCGTTGCATGGCATGGCAGGGGTACGATGTGGAGGCGTTTGCATCGAATGGCAGGGAGGCTACGGGTCTCGACATCTCTCCATCCGCTGTGGCACATGCAGAGAAGGTGGGCGTGCGTGACATGGGTGCCGCATTACCGCACTCCCCTCATGCTGCTTGATGGGTACAACTCGCACAGGCGGGTGGGCAGCGGGTGTGTGGCTAGCACTGAAGCTATTCGCCCTTCGTCCATCCCTTTCTTCGCCCTTCGCGTTCGTCGCCCATCCCTTTGCTCCCCACCCCTGCCCTCACACTCCTTTCCACTCCTCCCCTGCTGTCCAATCTCCACCCTCTGAGCCCTCTTGACCCTCTCTACCCTCTCAACCCTCTCCTCCTCCCGCCGAACCTCTCCCGCCCCCCTCTGCTCACCCCAGCGGGTGGAGGGGGCGGGCAACAGGGCGGCGATGGCATTTGAGTGCGCGGACTTCTTTGAGTACCGCCCTGCACAGCCCTTCCATGCCATCTTTGATTACACGTGAGTCTCCCCCGCCCCTCTGCCTTTCCCCCGCTCAATCCTCTGCCCCCTCAGCCTCTCAAACCTCGCATGCCAAACACCAGCTTTCCGTCCTGCTGCTGCGCTCCTTTCCGTTATCGCGTGCCCACCATCTCAATCGCTTCGCGTCTGTTGTGTCCCATTCGCTCTCTCTAACTTCGTTAAGAGCCTTTCCCCCATCTTACCCACCTTCCGCTCATCCAGGCCCTGTCAGTGCACACATGCCCCATCGCCCCTGCCATGCCCCTCACGCCCCCGCGGGCCCACGCACCATCCTTCCGTCCCTCCATACCCCCCTGCCCCTCCCCACGGCCCTCGCCCCGTGCAGGTTCTTCTGTGCGCTGCCGCCATCACTGAGGGGCAAGTGGGGTGCTCTTCACTCTCATGTTCCCCGTGCGTATCCATTGCACCCTCTCACCATGCGTATCCATTGCACCCTCTCACCATGCGTACCCATTGCACCCTCTCACCATGCGTATCCATTGCACCCTCTCGCCATGCGTACCCATTGCACCCTCTCGCCATGCGTACCCATTGCACCCTCTCGCCATGCGTACCCATTGCACCCTCTCGCCATGCGTACCCATTGCACCCTCTCGCCATGCGTATCCATTGCACCCTCTCGCCATGCGTACCCATTGCACCCTCTCGCCATGCGTATCCATTGCACCCTCTCGCCATGCGTACCCATTGCACCCTCTCGCCATGCGTATCCATTGCACCCTCTCGCCATGCGTACCATTGCACGCCCATCACTCAATGCTCATGTGTGCCTTCGAGTTACCTGCACGCCTGTATGCACTCTCACATGCTCCCTGTGGGCAAAATCTAATCGCTGCTGTGTGCTCACGGCGCGTGGCTGTCTGTGTGTGTGTCTCCCTCGCTGCGTGCGCCTGGCCTGCAGATCGATGGACACGAGGGCGGCCCACCCTATGCCGTCTCCAAGGACAGGTGCGCCCCTCCTCTCCTCCGTGCCCCCCCTCGCCCCTGCCCCCACTCCCCCCTGTTCAACCTCTCTTCCTTGTCTCTTCTTTCCCTACTTTCCCCCCTTTCCCCCCGGCACCCGCTCTCCGCCTGGTCCGCTTGTCACATCCACTGTTGGCCCCCCTCCCCCCTCCTCCTCCTGCTCGCCCCTATGCTGCTCTTGCAGTGCTTGCCATTTGTTTATCCTCTGCCCTTCCTGCCCCTCCCGTCCCTGCCCTCCCCATGCTGGGCCTCCGCACTTCTGTTTCCCACCTCCTTACGCGCCTCGCTCCCCTTGCTGCTCCTTCGCCTCCCCCACCCGCCACCACCACCGACTCCTCATGCTATCACTGCCCTCCTCCCCACCACCCGCCCTCCCCCTCCACGTGTGGCCCGGGCAGCTACACGGAGGTGCTGCAGCCGCTGGGGTTCACGGCAGAGGATCTGCCGACTGTCAGTGTGCCGCCCGGACAGGTAAGCCCCACAGCCAGTGTGCCGCCCGGACAGGTAAGCCTCACAGCCAGTGTGCCGCCCGGACAGGTAAGCCCCACAGCCAGTGTGCCGCCCGGACAGGTGAGCCTCACAGCCGTTGTGCCGCCCGGACAGGTGCGCCTGCTGGGCTGCATGTGCATCAGGGCACGGGGCACGACTGCTGTGCGTGTTGCTCACTCCCTTTCTGGCTCATTGCACGTGCGACCATTCACCTGCCTCTGTCTGTATTGTTGTGCCTCTGCTCATGCATGCGAGTGTGTGTGATCATGCGTGTGTGTGTGGTTGCGGGTGTGGGTGAGTGAGGGTATGGGTGTGCGTGGGTGCGTGGGCAAGTGCTTGGGCGGGTGCGTGGGGGGTGCGTTTGGTGGAGATGACGTGCAGGGCAGGGAGCAGCTGGCCAAGTGGGTGCGAGTGGGTGCAGCATCCAAGGTGTGACGCGCCTGGGACTGCTGCAGTGGCCACCCGCGAGCACCACGGGCCCACCTCGAAGCACCTTAGGAGAGCACGCTCCTGGGTCCCACACATCTTGTGCTTCAACTCAACGCATACTGTATATGAGAAACGAAGCTCTGCGCCTGTTTGAGCCGCAAAGTGGGCGTCAGAGCAGTTGAAAGCAGCGTGCAACAAATGCACTGCACGTGTTACCTTGGGTGACAAGTCTGGGAATCTGGTGTGGGTGAAAGCCACGTGCTTCTGGGGAGATCCCCAAGGTTTGGAGAATTCGCGCGGTGTTCCAGCTTGTTCCCTGAACCCTGCCTTGCATGCTATAACGAAGCGATCCTCTCAGCCTACATCAGTGGTGTTACACTCGCTGATAATTCATTCCTCATCAAAAGACTCTGCATTTGAACGAATACACTTGATGTTGGTGTTGTTCTGCGAACTGGAGGTTTTATTGGGTGCTTGGTTCAATGTCTGGAGGTTTTCCATCATGTGGTTGGATGCCAATAGGGAAATTGGGGTCCAGTATTGGTCACTAATTGAACAAGTTGTTGCACTTACTGTACAAGGAATCATGCTTGCTCACAAAAACATGCGAGCACTGTGGATTTCCAAAAATATTGGTACATGCTATACAACACTGAGAAAGCCTACCAAATCTACCTCAGCTATGTCAGCTGTACTCCCCTGCACCACTGCTTCTATCTCCCAAGTTTTTTTTTTTTTTTTTGTTCAGCGCGTGCGCGAGCCATGGATAAAAAAATCCGTCCCGCCGCATCCCCTTGGATGCCGACGGGCTGACTTCCTCAGGATGAGGGGCATGCCGTACACTCGGCTAAAAAACTCCATGGTCGCTTTTGATGCACGTCGCTGTTGCTGCACACCAACTGCTTCTCCCCTTGGCAGTTCCCAAATCCTTCGGCAGCTTCCCAACTTCTCTACCCCTTAGCGGCTTCTACCCTTCAGGGTTTGGGGGTTCTTCTCCCCTTCTCTGCACCAAGCTGCTTCACACCTTCTCCTCTGCACCAGGCTGCTTCACACCTCCTCTGCACCAGGCTGCTACTCCCCTTCTCCTCTGCAACGTGCAGCTGCTACTCCCCTTGTCTGCACCAGGAGGCGGCTGCTTCTCTCCTACTCCCCTTGTAGGCACAAGGAGGCGGCTGCTTCTCCCCTTCTGCAACGTGCAGCTGCTTCTCCCTTCTCTGCACCAGGAGGCGGCTTCTCCTCTTAACTGCACCAGGCGGCTTCTCCCCTTAACTGCTTCAGGCAGCTTCACTGCTTCCCCAACACTGCCTCCCCAACACTGCCTCCCCAACACTGCCTCCCCAACACTGCCTCACCAACACTGCTTCCCCAACACTGCTTCCCCTTCACTGCTTCCCCTTCACTGCTGCTTCCCCTTCACTGCTGCTTCCCCTTCACTGCTGCTTCCCCTTCACTGCTGCTTCCCCTCCCCTTCACTGCTTCCCCCCGTGAACAAGATAGTGTGGCACACAGGCAGTGCTTGTGCTGCAGCCTTCTCTGCACCAAGCTACTCCTCTGCACCAAGCTACTCCTCTGCACCAAGCTACTCGTCTGCACCAAGCTACTCGTCTGCACCAAGCTACTCGTCTGCACCAAGCTACTCGTCTGCACCAAGCTACTCCTCTGCACCAAGCTACTCCTCTGCACCAAGGGCTTCTCCCCTTAACTGAGGCGGCTTCTCCCCTTAACTGAGGCGGCTTCTCCCCTTAACTGAGGCGGCTTCTCCCCTTAACTGAGGCGGCTTCTCCCCTTAACTGACGCGGCTTCTCCCCCTAAACTGACGCGGCTTCTCCCCTTAACTGACGCGGCTCCTCCCCTAAACTGAGCGACTTCTCGCCTTAACTGACGCGGCTTCTCCCCTTAACTGAGGCGGCTTCTCCCCTTAACTAGGCGGCTTCTCCCCTTAACTGAAGCGGCTTCTCCCCTTAACTGACGCGGCTTCTCCCCTTAACTGAAACGGCTTCTCCTCTTAACTGAGGCGGCTCCTCCCCTTAACTGAGGCGGCTTCTCCCCTTAACTGAGGCGGCTTCTCCCCTTAACTGAGGCGGCTTCTCCCCTTAACTGAGGCGGCTTCTCTAGACCAGGCGGCCCCTTTACTAATAACTGCACCAGGCGGCAGCTCTCCCCTTCTCTGCACCAGGCGGCAGCTCTCCCCTTCTCTGCACCAGGAGGCGGCTTCTCCCCTTCTCTGCACCAGGAGGCGGCTTCTCCCCGTCTTTGCACCAGGAGGCGGTTTCTCCCTTGTCTGCACCAGAGGCGGTTTCTCCCTTCTCTGCACCAGGCGGCTTCTCCCTTGTCTGCACCAGAGGCGGCTTCTCTCTTGTCAGCACCAGGAGGCGGGGTCTCCCTTCTCTGCACCAGGCGGCGGCTTCTCCCTTCAGGGTTTAGGGGTTCTTATCCCCATAACTGCACCCGGCTTCTCCCCTGCACCAGGCGGCTTCTCCCTTTAACTGCATCAGGCGGCTGCTGCATCAGACGGCGGCTGCTCCCCTCCACTGCTCCATCCCTCTCTCCCTGTGGCTCCAGGCTGACGCATCAAGTGACGAACCCCCCACACCCACGCCAGTGTGAGAAAGCCCCGAGGCTCTAAGTTAAACCGCGAGCCTCCTAAACAGAAACCCTCAGGTGACCTAGAATGAGTATTTCCACACCCACGCCAGTGTGGACTCATCATTCAGAGGTAAGAGAAGATCTCCGCACCCTCGCCAGTGCGGTCTCCCTTCTCTTGAGAGTGACTCAAGCCCCCCGCACCCACCCCGGTGCGGTGCTGACTTGTGGTGCAAGTGCAACCCCAACAGTGATGCTACCTGGAGCGTCAGGTACCCGGGTTGCTTGATTCTGGGCCCAGGCAGTGCAAAGCCTCCCGGGCGACTGAGCTTGTCTGCGAGCTTCCACAGCCCATACTCCGCTTCCGCAGCCTCCTCCTCCGTCTACTCCTTGCAGCCTCCGCAGCCCATACTCCGCTTCCGCAGCCCATACTCCGCTTCCGCAGCCCATACTCCGCTTCCGCAGCCCATACTCCGCTTCCACAGGGTTCAGGGGTTCAACTCCTCTCCCCTCCACCAGGCCGCCTCTTCCCTTGTCTGCACCAGGCCGAATCAGCCCTTCAGGGTTCAGGGGTCCATCTCCTCTCTTCTCCACCAGGCCGCCGCTCTGTAAGTTGCTCGGCCGCTTTGTAGACTGCGCCGCCGCTCTGAAAGGTGCTCGGCCGATTCGTAGACTCCTCCTTCGCCAATTCCGTCGTCGTTGGCTGGTCCTGTTAAGAGAAAACGACGAACATCAATCAGTATTTATGTTACCAGAAAGTCAGAATGCGAATGTTAAGGAAAACTGACAGACACCAATTGCAACGGTAAACGATGGAAGGAGTGAGACGGTGAACAGCTTACCAGATGCTTCAACGGTGCGTTCAAGTCCGCTTCGTAGGCTGCTCCTTTGAAGGCTGCTCCCCCGCTCTGTAGGCTGCTCCCCCGCTCTGTAGGCTGCTTCGCCGCTCTGTAGGCTGCTTCGCCGCTCTGTAGGCTGCTTCGCCGCTCTGTAGGCTGCTTCGCCGCTCTGTAGGCTGCTTCGCCGCTCTGTAGGCTGCTTCGCCGCTCTGTAGGCTGCTTCGCCGCTCTGCAAGATGCCCTGCCGCTTCGTAGGCTGCTCCGCAGCTTCGTAGACTGCTCCTTCGCCATTCGAATCTTCGTTGGTCCTGTTAAGAAACAACGACACACAATTAGTCATTATGTTACAAGATTCTCAGAATTCGAATTAAAACAAAACTGACGGACATAACGATGAACAGTGTAAAGACTGAGACGGTGAACAGCTTACCAGCTGCTTCAACGGTGCGTTCTGTTGCTTCCTTGGTTGCTTCCGCCGCTCCTTAAAGCCCAGCCTCTGCTTCCGCCGCTCCTGAAAGCATGTTGCACATACATCCAGCTTGTAGGCTGCTGCGTTATGTGCTTCATAGGAGGCTGCCGCGTCATGTGCTTCATAAGAGAGATTGTAGGCTGCTCCGCCAGTTGCTACTCCATTTGCTTCGTTGACTGCTTCACCGGTTGGTCCTGTTGAAGAAAAAACAAGACACACATTAGTACAAATTCCATGTTCAAAGAAACCTATTAGCAATCAGCTCAAGCAGAAAACGGTAAGTAGCAAGGCTTTAGTAGTTCCAAAACTTACTTGACAGCTTCATCTGCTTCGTAGGCTCCTTGGTAAGCTGCTAAGTAGGCTCCTTGATAGGCTCCTTCGTTGGCTGGTTCTGTTTAAGATAAAGACAGAAACAAAAATTAGTAAATATTCTTCAGAATCAGAATTTAACAGAAAACATTTGCAGCCAGATTAAGCAGAAAACGGTTAACCGAGCTAAACGGTTAACGGATACACTTACCTAAAAGTTCAGCTGCTTCCTTGGTAGCTCCGCTCCTTGGTTACTCCGCTCCTTGGTTGCTTCACTCCAGGGGCTTCGTGGGCTGCTCCTTCGCCATTTGCCTCTTCATTGGCTGGTTCTGTTTAAGAAAAAACGACAAAAAAAGAATTAGTATGTATTCTTCAAAATCAGAATCTCAAAGACAGAAGACACCATTTGCAGCCAAATTTAAAAGAAAACGTTAACAGGGCTAAACGCTTAACGGAAACTTACCACTAGGTTCAGCTTCTTCCTTGGTAATCTTCGATCCTTGGTTGCTTCGGCCTTGGTAGTCTTGGATCCTTGGTTACGCCTCCAGTTGCAGATCCGCCTCCACGCACAACGTGATCTTTATTGCTGATAACGGGGGTAGGAAACACAAAAGAGGGCTCGAAGTTAGTAAACAGCAATGACAAGAAGGAAAACAATGGAGGAAAAACAAACAAGCATAAAACAAATGCGAAAAGCGAAAGCGACAAATGATTATGAAAACGACGAAGGAAACGAGGGCGGACGTCCATGGTCACAGGCTGCAGCTTTCAGAGGGAGGATCTAATCTAGCCACCCGACTACCCAACCGAGGAGGATCTTCTTCCGGCTGCAACCGTATGACCAGAGGGACGGTGGAAACGCGAATTACGAATGGCGGTGGTGGATGATGGACGGTGAAAACGAAAACGAGGAAATCGAAACAAAAGCGAGGAAAGAACAAGGAAAAGGGAAGCGAAACTTCCCGATTGACGTTGGCAGCGGGTTGAGCGGCTGAAGCACCACGTCGACCACGTCAGAACGCGTCAGGGCCAGCCAAGGCTTGAAAATGGAGAGCGGCGCGTCATCGTGATGGCAGGCGGGCAACAGCATGTCCAACGTCAGACCGCCAGCCACGGCTTGAAGAGCAGCAGTTGGACTTGTTGACAAAGGCCATTATACTTGATAACGATGAAGGGTTTGGTACCTGCGAAGATAAAACCAAACAAGAGTCAGAAATCAGAAGTAAACATGGAGAACAATAAAAAACGACATTCAAGTAGATCTAGTGCGTAAACGTCAAAACACGTTGACATAACAACTCCGTGCTTACCTCTAGATCGGAAGGGCAGGCTGGGCGGGGGGCGGCGTCCAAATGAAGCGTCAGACCAGCACGTCAGCGTGATGACAGGGCGGCAGCAGAAGCACTCCCAACGCGTCAGAGCGCCACGCACGGCTTGAAAATGCAGACCGGCAGTTCGGCTCGTTCAGTGGCTCGTTCAGACTTTTGTACCTGCGAAAATACAACCACACAAGAGTCAGAAGTCGAAGTAAACAAGGACATTCGAATAGATCTAGTGCTTAAATGTCAAATTAAGTAGACTTAACAACTTCGTGCTCACCTCTGGAGATCGAAGGGCAGGCTGGGCGGGAGGCGGGATGGATGGAGGCGGTTTGTTGGTTGGCGGTGGTGGGCGATCTCCAGGGTCGTCCAAATGAAGCGTCAGACCAGCACGTCAGCGTGATGACAGAGCGCCACGCACGGCTTGAAAATGCAGAGCAGAAGTTCGGCTTGAGCAGCAGTTCGGCGTGTTCAGCGGCTGCGGAGCAACAGTTCGTATGCAGACTCGTCACTGGACTTGTCTTCTGAGCCTGAGAAATACAAACACAGAAGGGTCAGAAATTGAAAGTAAACACGAAGAAATTATGAAACAATGACATTAAAAAACCATCAAAGCCAAACTAGTAACAGCTTCATGCTTACCTATGGAGATCGAAGGGCAGGCTGGGCGGGGGGCGGTGTGCGGATGGAGGCGTTGGTGATGGGGGCGAATGGTGGTGGTCGATCTCCAGGGTCGTCGCGTTGATGAGAAGTGAAGTTCGAAATTATAATACTAGAGGTAACCGATTTTAAGTCAATGTGTTATATACAACTCCCAAGCAAACTGACTGTGTGTCTAGGCATCGTTTGTTCCTAACCCAAAGTTCTCCCAAGTTCGTGACGCCGTTGGCTCTGTCGCTCAGACCGCCGCTCGAATCGCCCGTGTTTTTCTGCCGCTCTCCTTCGCGGGTAAGTTTGTGTCCCTGCTGTGTGATGAGGCTCCCTGAGGGCGTGTCTGAAGTGCAAACGTCGAGTTTCGTCAAATTTCGTCGACGAAACTCATCCGTGGGACCCACGCGTGTTGGTGTCTGAAGTGCAAACTGACATCCCTCGACGAAACTCGACGTTGGTGCACATGTCGAGGGATGTCGAACAGTGATACCGGGCAGCTGTTTGAGTCACTGTAGTCAGTGAGTGTTTCAAAAACAATTCTTCGACACGCCATGTCTGCATAGCTGTGGCAAACACACGTGAATAAGAACTAAGACGAGAGCGACACGTGCTAGAGAAATTTCGCTGGCAATGTGACAGTAGAATATCCGGTGTTACCAGCAACAATCTATGCTAAGCGAAATTCGCGAGATTGCAAACAATTGAGTTACATGAATGATTCTGTTAATTCCACGTCGAATTTTCATGGGCAACTTATAACAGTGTTCCTATGGCACGTGTGGGTTATTTTGTCGTGTGGGTGTCTGAAGTGAACACAGCTGAAAACGGATGTCGAGTTTCGTCAAGGAACGTCGACGAAAGTTTCGTCGGCAAACGTCGAAATTCACTTCAGACACGCCCTGAGCATCCTAGCAGCAAGGTGAGGATGGAGCAGACGAGTGGTTGGGGCACTACAAGCCGAAAACTACAGTGACTGATTGCAGCAACCCTCTGGGATGTGGTGGTCACCACCACCTGCTGGAGGGTCAAAAACAATATTTAGGGTAGACATTTCTCACGCGAAGTATATCCCGTATATTCAAGATGCCGAAATCAGGACCCTTGCCTTTGCGTAGCTTAGAGATTTATGGTAGTCCACACCCACATGTTGCAGCACGCTAGCCCATCCTCCAACGTGGAAAAATTGTGATTGCTACGCTTAGAAGCATCCTGCCAACGAGAAAACTTTTGTGTTTGAGAACTTGTGCTTTCCTACAAAAAGCTCACGAGAGACGGGGGTTGAGCCTTTTTACGGCGCATTCCAGCCCGTGTGTCAGTAGTTTTTGGCGGTGTACTTTCCGAATCGCGTGCGTGACGACGTGAACCTCGCGTCAGCGAGCAAGTGTTGCGTGGTAACACATGTAACTAAAGGTGACCAGAAGTTTGACACGTCCGCAAAAAACACGCACCAGAAAATTTCAAGGAATGCACGGGGACGGGTCACGGGGAAGAGGCGGGAAGGGGAAGGTGCTCGCGCGAGGAAGAGTTCGCCGGCAGAACTGTTCGTGAAAACCGAGGGGAAATGGGCTGCGGGGTGCCTGTGAGGAATGACAGGAAGATGTGCGCGCGACCTTTTGTCGGAAGTTGTCCACCACTCCTTGCGAGCGGTAATTACAGCCTATCAACTCACGACGACTCTGGTTGGACAACAACTCGTTCAGGAGCACACGGACGAATCAGAACGACGGGGACGAGATCACATAAAAAGCACACAACCGAGGCGCGTTGCCTGACGACGGTTCAAGTTTGGGGAACACAAATGCCGCGGGAAAGGGGAGGGTCAGAGGCTGATGTGTTGACGTCACAGCAGAAACGCCGCTGAAGGAGGAACCATCGTCAAAGTCTGGCGAAGCTGCCTTGGTGGAAGCTGACCAACGGCACAGGCGACCACATGGCCGTAATTTCTCGCCAAAAATGATATCGTATCAGCATTGACACGCTGTACTGATGAGAATCGCCACATCATCAAATTGGAGACACCTCGACCCTACACACTAGCCTAATCAGCCCAGCATACCAACCGATATGAATGCTACTCATTCCAACAGGGCGGATTTCTTTGAATTGCAGACTACTATAATAAAAAAACATCCATGCAGGGAAGGAAGTGTGAGTTCCAACATGTGAAAACAATAACTCGCCTACAGTTTGATCGCCTAGGTCCTTCAATTGCAGTATCGATGGCCCCAAAGTGTTATTGACGAGGCGATGCAAATCAAACTACAATAAACAGTGAATAAAAGATGAACGAATAATCAAGCAGCCAGACCTACAATAGCTCATGACAATTTAGATGCAGCAGGGGCAGCTACAACAGGTGCATCGGGATGGAGAATTAGCTCAGGTCCAGTTGGTGGCCCCAGAGAGCATCTGTCGGTGCTGTGGGTTGCCAGGGCGTCCTTTAACTTCTGAATCTGTAGGGGTCAAAGCACCACACAGAACTCCACAGGAATTAGACATCGTAATGTAAGAACAGCAATGCATCTGAATGACGTGGTATGATAGCAGGGAGTAAGAGCTATGCATGACAAGCAACAGGGTAACGCAGGTGGCAGAAGCATGCATGCATGCATGCAAGGCGTACTGACCTTGGTAATGGAGGCAGAGAAGGCGTCTAGGCGGCCCTCTGCTCCTCGGTAGAAGTGGAACATGGGTAGGAGGCGAATGTTGAGGCTCTTGCACAGCGGCTTGTTGTGGTCGAAGTTGATCTTCAGGAACAAAACATCCGGGTACTGAAGGGCTAGCTTGCAGAGCTGGGGATTCGGGAATGGGTGGTGGGAGAACAAAAGAAGAACATTACATCTTGGATGCAATATGACCCAGACTTAGGAAACCTGAATATATCGTTGAAGTGTAAACGTGTGCATGACACCAGGACGTATACTCAGGTAATGAATTCGGATGACCTTGTGTTTGAAATGACGTTTCTCGTCAGTATCCAGGTACGATCACCAGGCGACTCCGTGCGGCGTATCAATGACGGCAGCACATTAGCAGCCCGCATTGAAGCTCTAAAAGCTATAAAGCGTCAAACCCCGACCGCCTGTGCCTTCAAGCTGGGCTAGTATTTCCCTGACAGAACATCTACCCGCAACACTCACCTTGGGATACAAGGCTCGGCAGGCGCCACACCAGGTGCCGAAGAATTCAACCACGACAAGCTTGTCTCCCGCTTCTCCCAGGGCCTCCACGAATTCGGTCGTAGAGTTGAGGTCTCTCATGTTGGGCGGCATGTTCTTCTCCCACCAGTTCTCGCCATCGCTCTCCACCTTGGACGCCTTAACGCCGCTGCGCGGCGCTTGACCTGGACTTAGCACGGCGGCTTGGGCTTTAACTGCTACTTGTCGGCCTTTAAAGGTGGAGAGGTGAGGTAGAGTTGCGAACGAGGGAGTCTGGAGTCGGAGTGACGAGGTTTGGCTGGAAAGGGAACTGACGGCGTTCGCGGCGCCGACGTTAGAGGCAAGTGCAGCCGCAGCTGTAGCCATTTGTGCCGAAGTAATGACTACTGAACGAGAACCGACTAGTCAAATACGGGTCGACTGGTGCAAAAGCTGGAGAGAAGACAGCACGAGCTTAGTGCGTCTGGACCTACCGGGCTTGGCAAACTCGAGCACTTGATTTATCGATGAATCGTTGAGAGACTAAGCGCTGGTGCTCAAACCTGCGAAGGAACGAGTAGGAATGTCTAGTCTAGACCAATTATGAGCCAACAGACTATTTACGGTACGGGTCCGCTCCGCTCCGCGCCAAGGACGAGGGGCAAGGACTAGTCTGGCCCAGGCAGTCTGTTTGGGTGGTAAGTAATGCCCAACTTTGAGGAACGATGTGTATCCAATCAGTGCATCAATGGCGGCGGCTTTTCGTTCGATTACCGAAGGCAGCTGTGATTGGCTGTGTCGGGTTTTGCGGGGAGACTGGAGGGCAAAAACAAAGAGGGAGAGGAGAGGAGGGAGTGGGCGGGGGGGAAGAGCACGGTTGGTAGGAGCCAGGTGAGAAAGGGGGAACGATGATATGCCCAGGAGCTGGGCTGGCCACGGAGATTGTCGCGTCATCGCGACGACAAGTTCGAGGGAGAACGATGACGGAACGGGTGGAGGAAAGTGACCGAATCCCGATGAGGCAAGTCGGTGAGTGGCGGAGAGGTTGCGACCTAACACGTGTTCAGTCCGTATTTAGCCAGCTGCTGGGTAAAGTGAAGAGAAAGCGGGGTGCAAGTGGTCGGGAGCCCAGAACTTGGAGGTTGATGATTCGCTGGCTGGTAGTTGCGTGGCAGACCACGCAGCTCTCAACGAAGCCACCCCAGAAATGGGACCACCAGCTGGTTACACGTTTCGCAACACTTAAAAACACATTAATTTTGTTAGTCCTTAAAGCCGGCGGCCCAAATTGTTCATGCTTTTAAAAGTTGACCAGAGGGAGTTTTTCTGGTGTGGGCTTTGGCGAGAGTTTCCGATTTCGTCTAGGTTCGTTTTTTTCGCGAGACCCAGCCAACCCTCGGTTTTCCCCCTGGTGAGTGAATCTGTCTTCGAAAGTCCCAAATTGCAAGTGCGTGACTTTTAAAGCTTTCGTATACATTTGAAAAAGGGAGGTTCAAAAGTTTTGAAATTTGAAATATTGGTAACCCAGAAACAGCTAGTTTCACTCGCTTCACAAGGGAGGTGATCTCCCCGTCACCCAGGGCTCACTGGTGATTCAAAACTTTTGGAATAACAAAAGTATACGAAATCCAGTCCATGTGAGATCTACGCCACTACGCTCAACAGGCAGCATAAATCGTAGCAAAGCACATCGCGACAACAGCCAGCGCAAATCACTCCCGTTTCCGACACAAACTTAGACGCGTGGGGCAGTTTAGTGTAATTACACGTCCGAGCCAACGTCAGTTCCGCCCTCTAACACGGCGAGCCCGCCGGACCCCTTCTCACAGCCTCGCCTCGTCGTCCGTCGCGTTGCCTCACCACGCGGCCTCCTCACGCCACCATGAACGCGCACGCTGCGTCTCAAACTGCCGAACACGCACGATCACAGTCGCTTCCCGATCGCGCGACCTCGCTACCACGTTTCCGCAGTAGCGGCGGCAGCCGCAATTGAGGTGTCGCGAGGGTAATCAGAAACGATTGCTCCCCATTACCTCTTCCCGCCTCCCCGTTTCCCCTTCCCGCCTCCCCAATTCCCCTTCCCGACACCCCATTTCCTCTTCCCGCTCCCCATTACCCCTTCGCGCCTCCTCGTTTCCCCTTCCCGCTCCCCATTACCCCTTCCTGCCTCTGCAATTCCCCTTCCCGCCACCCCATTTCCTCTTCTCGCTCCCCATTATCCCTTCCCGCCTCCTCGTTTCCCCTTCCCGCTCCCCATTACCCTTTCCCGCCTCCCCAATTCCCCTTCCCGCTCCCCATTACCCCTTCCCGCCTCCCCAATTCCCCTTCCCGCTCCCCATTACCCCTTCTCGCCTCCCCAATTCCCCTTCCCGCTCCCCATTACCCCTTCCCTCCTCCCCGTGACCCCTTCCCGCTTCCCCATTACCCCTTCCCACTCCCCATTTCCCCTTCCCGCCTCCCCAATTCCCCTTCCCGCCTCCCCGCTTCCCCTTCCCACTCCCGATTATCCCTTCTCGCCTCCCTTCTCAAACTGCCGAACACACATCACAGTCGCCGCCCGATCGCACAGCCTCGCTACCACGTTTCCGCACTAGCCGCGGCAGCCGCACTCTCATTTCCCCCCTTGCAGACTCTCATTTTCCCCCTTGCTCACTCTCATTTCCCCCCCATGCTCTCCCTCATTCCTCCCCCCTTCTCCCTCTCATTCCCCCCATGAAGCCCCTCATCCCCCCCTTTCTCCCTCTCATCTCCCCCCCTGCTCCCTGTCATGTCCCCACCTTCTCTCTCTCATGTCACCCCCTTCTCCCGCTCATTCCCCCCCATTCTCCCTCTCATTTCTTCCCCTTCCCCCTCTTATATCTCCCCCTACTCCCTCTCATTCCCCCCATGAAGCCCCTCATTCCCCCCCTTTCTCCCTCTCATCCTCCCCCCTGCTCACTGTTATGTCCCCCCTTCTCTCGCTCATGTACCCCCCTTCTTCCTCTCATTTCCCCCCCTTATCCCTCTCATTCTCCCCCCTGCTCCTTCTCATTCCCCCCTTAACCACTCAGTTAAATGCCACATAACCTCCCTCTCATTTCCCCGCATTCCCCCCCCCTTCCCCCTCTCGTTTCCCCCCATCTCCCTCTCCTTTCCCCACGTGCTCCTTCTCATTCCCCCCCCCTTCTCCATCTCGTTTCCCCCCCGCTCATTTCCCCCCATCTCCTTTCATTTTCCCCCCTTCTCCCTCTCATATGCTTCTAACCCCTACCGTACCCTTGGATGATCGCATGCCATACTCATCCATCCGCTGCCATACACCGCCACACCCTTCCATCTCCTCCCATACCCTTCCATACGCCAGCCAAGCCCGTCCCTCATTCTGCCATACCTTGCCATACTCTGCCATACCTTTCCTTCCCTAGCGTAAGTGTACCATTCCCTTCCATACCCCAGCCATACCCATCCATCCCCTGTCATACCCTTCCATTCCCTTCCATACCCTTCCATACCTTCCATTCCCTTCCATACCCTTCCATTCCCTTCCATACCCTTCCATTCCCTTCCATACCCTTCCATACCTACCATTCCCTTCCATACCCCAGCCATACCCTTCCATACCCTTCCATTCCCTTCCATACACTTCCATTCCCTTCCATACACTTCCATTCCCTGCCATTCCCTTCCATTCCCTGCATTCGTGCACAGGCATATGACTAGTCACGTGATTGGTATCGAAGAATCCAGGGTTGGGTGATAAAGGTTATGTATATAGTGATACAATTGTAAGGACTTTTTTTATAAAACATGTTGTGAGGCTACGAGCTTGATTTTGGTCCTGAAGTGCCAAAAATGTACTAGAGTTGGGAGTGTATGCATGCTTCTTGAATCACAAGTGCATAGTAATAAATACGCAGGGAGCTGCCGCACAAGTTGGCGGCTGCTGTTGTATGCCTGGCGTTGGTGTGCAGCAGAGGGGAGCGATGCATTGTGTGCTGCTTGGTGGACCTGCCGGTGAGAGGAGTGGGGGGGGTCAGGGCTGAGAAAGGGACGAGGAAGGGGAAAAAGAAGGCACATATCAGGGTGAGCTCAACCAAAGCCTGGAGAGAGTGCCCTTAGTCATCCAAGTGGCGTGAAAACGGTTGTCTAGGCAAGTCCCAAGGCATGCGATGGGACGCGCACAGTACCTGAGAGGCGTGAACGATGGGACAAAACTTGAGATGAGTCGAGCTCGCTTGCACGCACCATCTGCCGCAACAGCCTCGCTACCTCCTCCTTCTCCCTCTCCCTCCGCCTCGCTTCCTCATCGAGCCTCACACCCTGCTCGCTCCCCAGTCCACTGCTGACATGGCTGCTTCGATAGTGTGCACCCAGCGTGAGAGACCCGGCATGCTGCATCTCCTGCGGCTTGCGCACTCATGAGCGCGCTCGGCTGTGAGACCGCAGCAGGGTCCACTCGCTCTTGGTTCTGCTGTTGCTGCCCATGCACCTGCCGCTGTTCTTGCAAGATCATCCCAGCTCCAACTCCTCGTGGGAGCTGCTGCTACATTTGCTCCACAAATGCTAGGTCCAGTAGGAGCTCAATCCGCAGGAGCAGAAGTATGGTCAGAACCGGGGCAGTTGCAGAGTCACACGGGTTGGGGCCAACAGCCGGCGTCGGCAGTCCATAGTCAAAGGAGTGGGGCGAACAATCCTCCCCACTGGCTGCTCCTCGCCTCATGTCTCCTCCTCCTCCACCATGCCTTCCCCTCCTTTCCTGAGCTACCTCCTGCTCCGGGGGGAACACCAAAGGAAGGAACACTGGGTGTGGCAGCAGAGGCAGCTCCGGCAAAGGCAGCAGCGGCGGCAGTATGGGCAGGGACTGAAGGAGCGAGTGGGATCTCATGGGAGGTGAGATGACCCTGGAAGGAGGGGGGATGAGAAATTAAGGCATGGCGATGGGAGAGCGTGGAAGGGAGAATGGAAGGGAAATGAGAGGGAGGAGGGGGAGAGATGAGAGGAGCAAGGGGGGAAATGAGAGGGAGGAGGGGGAGAGATGAGAGGAGCAAGGGGGGAAATGAGAGGGAGGAGGGGGAGAGATGAGAGGAGCAAGGGGGGAAATGAGAGGGAGGAGGGGGAGAGATGAGAGGAGCAAGGGGGGAAATGAGAGGGAGGAGGGGGAGAGATGAGAGGAGCAAGGGGGGAAATGAGAGGGAGGAGGGGGAGAGATGAGAGGAGCAAGGGGGGAAATGAGAGGGAGAGGGGGAGAGATGAGAGGAGCAAGGGGGGAAATGAGAGGGAGGAGGGGGAGAGATGAGAGGAGCAAGGGGGGAAATGAGAGGGAGGAGGGGGAGAGATGAGAGGAGCAAGGGGGGAAATGAGAGGGAGGAGGGGGAGAGATGAGAGGAGCAAGGGGGGAAATGAGAGGGAGGAGGGGGGGAGATGAGAGGAGTAAGGGGGGAAATGAGAGGGAGGAGGAGGGGAAATGAAGGGGAGCAGTGGGGGAAGTGAGAAGGAGCAGGAGGGGAAATGAGGGGGAGCAGTGGGGGAAGTGAGAAGGAGCAGGAGGGGAAATGAGGAGGAGCAGGCTGGGAAATGAGGGGAAGAATGGGGGGAATGAGGGGGAGAAGGGTTAGAACTGAGAGGGAGAAGGGGGGAAAATGAGGGAGAGAAGGGGGGAAAATGAGGGAGAGAAGGGGGGAAAAATAGGGGGAGAAGGGGGGGAAATGAGGGGGAGAAGGGAGGCAAGTGGAGAGGGAGTAGGGGGGGTTGTGAGGGGGAGAAGGGGGGAGGGGGGGTAATTAGAAGAGGATGCGCTTAGCGGGAGAGGCGCTATGCGGGCGCTAAGCGGGAAAGGCGCGCAGCGGGTGCGGCGCTAAGCGGGAGAGGGTGAGGCGACACGCGGGAAAGGCGCACAGGGGGTGAGGCGCGAAATGAGAGAGGCGCGCAGCGAGTGATTCGTTGCGCGGGAGAGGCGCGCAGCGGTTGCGGAGCTAAGCGGGAGAGGCGCGCAGCGGGTCAGGCGCTAAGCGGGAAAGGCGCGCGGCGAGTGATACGCTAAGCGGCATGGCGCGCAGAGGGTGAGGCGCTAAGCGGGAGAGCTCCCAGCATTGGAGGCGGTAAGCGGGAGACCCGCGCAGTGGGTGAGGCGCTAAGCGGGAAATGCCTACCGAGCGGGTGTTGAGAGTGGCGGCGTGGCCAACGCATGGAACGATGCGATCCCGCCGTCGGCTCCGTAATTTTCAATCGGCTTACTCGATCGCACCTACCCAGCGTGGTGATGCAACCCGTCGAGGCGCCCTTGACAGGGCTTCGACGGGGCCCATCAATGCAGCACGACGCGCTCGACGAATGCAGAGCCTTTCCCTCTCCGATTGCCGCTGAACGGCGCAGCAGTGGAAAGGAGCTGGCGTGCAAGCTAGATGTATTTTCCCACTCGCACAAGCCTATAATGTTACCTAAACTCATCTCACATGAGAATATCTGAGCGGTGTCGATGCTCCGCATGTTCTTTGTCGCGCCCCGGTTCCTCTATCTATGCTTAGCGTATGTTAGTCACATATCATGGTTCCTAGTGAAATCTGACTCCAAGGTTGGGTGACGGGGGAGTTTCCTGTGTTTGGAACTCCTCAAAGCTGCAATTTTTCGCCAAACCTCTCGCCACGCTCAGTTGTTTCGTTCTGGCGAATTTTTCCCTGGCTACAGTGCAAGTCCAAACAGTACTTGCAAATGTATACGAAAGCTTTAAAAGCTTGGACACTCAACTTCGTCAAGTTTTAAAAACTTGACCCTCGCGGCCCGCAATTTGGGACGCGGGCTTTAATTTCAGTTTGATTGACACACACATCAACAGCCAATGTGGTTTATTGTAGATACAGCTTCGTTCTGGCGGTACAAAAGGTGAATAAGGTACTACTATTGAATGCATTAAGTGTTAGGTGACATAAAGGGAAACATCTCCCAATGCTACCACAACAACAGCTAAGAATGCTTTGACAAAGCACCACTTACAAGGCATCATTCGAGCACGCCTCACAACTCCACAACCTGGACAGTCAACCCAGACTCCTCAACACCCACAATACCATCACCGCCACCACCAAACCCATTCGGGTGCTTCTCCGGGAGAGGCAGTCCCGCCAAAATATGCGGCACAAACCCAACCACCGAGGTAAGCCTCCTATCCACCGCTGCCTGTTCCATGACGCGCCGGTGGAGGCGCGCGATTGGCTCCAAGCAGTCAGGAAGCATGAGGAGGCGGGTGATGTGGCAATCCACCAGTGTCGACACCCACGCGAAGATTCTTTCCAAGCGCGGGACAGCGAGGAACGCCCGGGCCCCGAAGACAGAGTAGGCAGGAAGCTCAACAACGAATCCCCGAGCTGAGTACACGTCCACCCATTTGGCAAAGTAGGAGAAGAGGAAGCGGACATGCGGGAGGGAGAGAGGCGCCAAGGCAGCTGCGAGAATCGTATCGTCGAATGGGACGGCGACAACTGTGTGGAGGATGAGCTCCGCGTCGGTGAATGCGTCCAGCTCAGCAGATGACGTCAGCGCAGCTGCCATCGAGGACTGGAGCACAGCATGACTGGCTTTCCTGGAGTTCTTAGACCGCGTAGCAGCACCAGCCAGCACTGAACGTACATCTGCCACGGCCCTCTTGCCCCTCAGTCTCCTCAACTCCGCCACTCTGCTGCTGACAAACCCCTGCCCATCCTGCACCCCTCCTCCCTTCCCACCCACCCTATCCTCCTCCGCATCCGAACTTCTCCCTTTCTCTGCATCGTTGCCTGCTTGCCGCTCGCCCGCATGCTCACTGGCAGTCACGGCATCATCCAGCAGCAAGCGGAGAATGAGCGCCAGGTGTCTGGGAGGCAGGTCTCCCATGTGCACCAGACACACCTCCAGCAGCAGCACCTCCCGCCGAGCCACCAGGCTCGGCACCAGGTTCGGGCACAGCGCCGACGTGACCTGGCCGGAGCTGACGATGGCTCGGAGCAGCATGCGGTGGGAGCAGGCCAGCGCGTGCTGAGTCAGCGCTGACACAACCGAGGGCGAGAACAGCCGCACGCATTCGGTAACAGCCGCGGCAACTGACTGGTGGTCCGGAGTCAGAGCAGCCATGGCTGCTGCGGCTGCTGGCGGTGCGAGCCCACTCTCCTCAGCCAGCTGCTTCGCACAGTCCAGGATAAGACGGGCCAGCCTGTGCTGGTCTGCCATGGAGGCGTCTCTGTCTCTCCCTCTCCTCCGCTCCGTGCTGCCGCCCTCTGCCATGCCATCTGCCATGCCATCTGCCTCCTCCAATGCCCTCTCGTATGCGTCCTTTTCCTCTCCTGCTTCCTCTTCCCCATCCTCTCCCTCTTCTTCCTCCTCCTCCTCTTCCTCCTCTTCTTCATCCTCATCCTCCTCCATCTCCTCTTCCTTCTCATCCGCCTCGCCCTCTTCCATATCTTCCCCCTCCTCCCTCTCCTCCCCATTCTCAACACCCTCGCTCCCTACTTTCTTCCCCCCCTCCACCCCTTCCTCGACAAGAGCATTGAGCAAGGCCATCTCTGCCTCGCTCCCCACAAAAGACAACCACTGCCGCCCATTGCCGTCCGCAGCCCGGGACAGGTTCAGGGCCATGTGCAACTTTCCAAACCTGGCCTTCCCACGCGACTTCTTTGCCTTTTTCTTCTCTTTCCCTTTCTGCTTCGCTTGCCCAACTCCTGGCTTCAACCCTCCTCCCAATTCCTCTTCTTCCTGGTCCTCTTTCCCCACGTCCTTTCCTGGAAGGTTCTTCACCAATCCCGAGTCATGCAATGTGGGCCCCACAAACCACCCAGTCGGCTGTAGCGGGTTGCTGTGGCCCGGCCCAGATTTGTCTGCTAGCGCCAAACCAGCCGCCCTCGCAGCAGAAGCAGCCAAACCACCCCACCCAGCAGTCACCACACCTGCAGGCACCCCCCGTACTTTCGCCGAATCAGTCCTTGCTGCTCCGGAAGCAGGCTCGGCAGCAGGTTCGGTGGGCAAGAGCAGGGGCACGGCGGGTTGGAAAGCCCCTAGAACCGAGGCAAGGGAGAGGGGGGGGCAGTGCACGTGCAAGGAGTGCAGTGCGGTTGGTGTGGTAACCAGCAGCGAGGCGTCTTCTGGGGAGGGGCCCACCCATTCAGCGTGAATGAGAGGCAAGGGGAGGGGCGAGGGGGGGAGGGAGGCGGGGAGGGAGCAGGAGGAGGGGAGAGGGGTGCAGGCATGCACACAGCCAAAGAGGGTATCCAAGGCAATGGCGTAGAGCGGCAGGTGAGAGGGGTCTGCATTGTCTGTGGCGTTCAGACGGGGTTTCGTGTGAGAAGGGGGCTTCGCAGCGAGCACAACACAGTAGCGAGTCCCAGGCACTGCAGCCATGGCTCCTGCTGTTACCCTCGCATGGGCCGACGAGGGTTTTGAGTTTGGGTGGTGAGTGGCACCGCCCTCAGGCACCACCTGTGTTGCAGCCACTGCAAGACTTCGTGTCAGGGATGCTTCCAGGAAAGCGGAGGGAGTAACGGCGTCCTTGGATGTGTCAGGTGATGGGGTTTGGGGTGGGATGGTGTTGGGGAAGCACTGCCACGTGGCGTCACTCCATAGGAGCTGGTTTGGGAGGAAAGGCGAGGGGGGAGAGAAAGACAGTAAAGAGGAATACACGAACAAACAGAGCGAAGGTTAGCTTCTGAAGGAAAGAACGAAAAGAGATAATTGATCCTCAGATGGTGGTGGTTCATATACCAGAGCACAGCACAGCACAGCACAGCATAGGCAGTGACTCACCATGATCTCGCCTGCATCCCCCACGCACAGCGACACAACACCACGCCCTCCTTCCTCCCCTCCTGCCTCTTCCTCCTCCTTTTCCTCCTCCACCCCCTCTTGCCCAGGGCCTCTAACTCTGAAGGCCTTCACTAGAGTCACCTTCACTACAGGTGCATCCACATGCCCGTTGCCTCGTGCCATGGCGTCTACATCAGCCATGGCCGCATCACCCGCCCCACATGCCACATGGTAAACCCTCACAACCCTTGCCGCTCCGCCCCTGCCGCTCTCGCTGCTTCCCTCACTCGCCCCCTCCCCTTCTTCCACACCCACCACTGCCAAGACCCACTCACTCCCCCGCTTCCCATCCCCCTTGTGCCCAAGCCAACTCCCCGAGCCTGCCGCCTCCACACGGATCTTTGGTCCGTCCGCAGGCTCGGTGAGCGATGAGGTCAGGGAGAGGTCCGGCGAGTAGGTTCGGATGGAGCCATCCGCGCAGAGGGCGAGAACACCCCCGGAGGGCGGGACGGGGGGAGAGGTGGCGGTAGCGGTGGCGGCGGTGCCAGGTGTGGCCTCGTCTGCAGGTTTCGTCGCGTCTAGTGTTGTGTGGGATGGGCGGGGACCGGAGCAGGAACGGCAGAGGGTGGAGACGGAGTGTGGCAAAAGGAGAGGATATGGCAGGCAAGGGAGAAGCGCTGTGAGCACGCGGGGAAGAAGAGAAGAAGGAGCACGGGGTAGCATGTACCGCGAGCAATGGACGCGTCGCACGGAGGCCACTTACCAGAGTCGGCGCTTCCCGTCGCAGTCAACGGAAACAGGCGGACGATCGGCCTATCAGCTTCCACCACGTGGCAACCGTCCGCCGCGCCTGTCTTGTGCAGGAGCGCGGACGGCGCAATGGAGGACGTGCCGAAAGGCCAGCTCGCGACCACCTGCGCGTCCGCCCCTGGCGCGTCCGCCCCTGGTGCGCCCGCCGCTGGCGCGTCCGCACTCCCCTGGAGCAGCGCGTAGTGGTGACGGGACGCGCGGTCAGAGACGCACGGGGACGCGAAGCGGTGCGTGGGCGGACCAAGAGGCCACGCGCGGAGTCGAGTCTGGGGGAACAGGAAGGTCGGAAAGAGGGAGGGGAGATGTAGAAGGAGGTTCAGGGTTGAGGGTTCCACCCTCGGAGGACGCGGTCGGTCGCACTAGGGAGGACGCGGAGCGAGGAGAGGCAGTGGGTGGTACGGTGGTCATGCGCGGAATCGAGAATGCGGAGAAGAGGGAGGGGGGGGGGGGGAGGATAAAGGGAAGGGCCAAAGGATATGGGGGGTTCGGGATCAGGGGTTCAGCTCCTAATTATGCAGACGGAGACTGAAGTTTTCCGCGACTCTCGCAATCGTTTTTGAAAAGCTCAGCCATAAAACGGCATACGGAACTTTTTAGATGCAGAAATCCGCTTGTGACTGCATTCGGGTGAGGATGCCATCCGCGATACAAGACTATCGCCCTCAGGTTGGCACGCAACGACCAAAACTCACCCGAGACGACACGGAGAATTTGGACGCGCCGTCCGACTGCCTCGAGAGCAGGACGGTGAAATCGTCGACTTTCGACGCTCCTATGAACACCCCGGGAGGTTCCTTACGCGTGCCTACCACGGACCACGAGGTCTCCTGTAACCCTCCTGGTAACCCGCACAGATGCACGGCGTCAATCTCCATGGCGCGAATCGCCACCACCTGAATGAGACAGACTTAGTCGGACAGAGACTGAAGTACTGGTGATCTGGGGATTAGGGCTGAATGAGGTGTTCAGGAGGGTTTTGAGACCTTGGCAGGAGGAAGGGTGGGATAAATTGCTCATTTTATAAGCACATTCGGTTGTGATACATGCTTTTGTGGTTTGTTTCCTGCGGACGCTTCACTTCACTGATCAACATTCGAGAACCTTTCGAGAAAACTTCGGTGCAAGCATTTTGTGTCACGATCTGAGTTTGTGTCAGAGATGGTCTCATAAGCTCAACCAATCCTGTCGCGTCGAGCAGGCAAACCTCGGAATTGCCCTGTATCGCGCTGACTCGCACCTCTTTGAAACGTATCCTGTCGTACATTCCCCATGCCACATTTCCGTCCCTCCCCTGTGTCCCCGTTTTGCTGGCTAGACAAGAACACGAGGAAAGCGGCCATGCCATTTCACCAGCTCGTACCATTCTCCCTGCTCGTACGAAGCTGAACCTGTCTCCTAATATAATTTCCTTCATCGCTACTCAGAGCGATTTGTGTAGCCTCGTTAGTCGCCATGGCTGCGATATCTCCCGTTGTGGCTAGCGCGATTAGAGGCAGCGCATTTGCGCTGTCCTGCAAGAGCGACGCCAGGAGTACCATTTCCCAGCGACTCGCTATTCGTCGAACGCGATACGATGGTCTTCGTAATAAGGTCAGCCACCATAGGCAGTACAATGAAGCGGAATACCTTTCTTGAAGCGAAGTTCTGTTATTTTCCGAGTGTTTCATATGATGACTCATGCGTCTTGGTTGCATAAACAGCATCCCGTTATCGTATCCCTGTCGCCGGTATCATCGCTTCCCTCATCTTCCCGTCCTTCCCCTTGACGCTTATCCCCACAGGGGAGCAGTATTCCAGGTAGAGGCATGGGATCAGGACGACTGATCGAACGAAACGCACAGGCCAAGGTCCACGTTTCAGTCGCTGCAAGCCTTGATATCGACGTGGACATTGCTCCTCCGCCTATTGACGGCGACCTGACGGTGCGTTCACCTGGAGTCGCATTGTTCCGTCAACAGAGCATCACGAACCTAGCATGAATGCAATTTGACTTACTTAAAGGTTAATTTTGTGTGTTCAGGAGACGATGGAGGAGTATGGAGCGGAGTTTGATACGGAAGGGGTGCCTGTGACGTTCAACAACAACGACGACGACGCCATTAATGCAGCCCTTAACTCTGTCGCTGTACGTCTCATGCCTGGCGCATGCCATTGGATGTCACTCAAGTCAGCTCTTCCCACGTATCAGGCACTGCGAACTTCATTGTCACTGCTACGCCTTCATACATCCCAGTCCCTTTTCCTTCCTCTCGCTTCATCGTTCCAGCATGACGGGATGTCCTCCCCTCCCTGTCCTGCTACCTCGTTTCCCTGTGTCTTGATTCTCATGCCTACTTCAGGTCTTTGACATGTCTCACTTCGGCAGAATCAAAGGTAAGCAAGAATCACAGAAATAGTAGATGATGGGATTTGCAAGCTCAGGACTGTGGCAGGCAGAAAGAAGAAAGGAATAAGAGAATCATTGCAAGGACGGCATGGAGCATGTCAGCATTGATGCAGTGACCCCAACTCGTAACGCGATTTTCCTCCTCTTGTTTCTTTCACAGCCTCCGCTATCCTCTTCCTTCCACCCTACCCTGGTTGGTTGGCTTGACTTCGACCTCACTGTGACCACCTGGCATGCTTTCCACAATGCTTCTTCCTATTGACATCATCATGGCAGTATCTGGGGAAGACCGGCTTCGATTCCTGCATAACCAGACCACGGCTGATTTCAACTCCCTCTCCCCTGGCCAGGCGAGTAGCCTCTATGGACAAGCCCTGTCATGCATTGAAGCACTAGTGCGTTCGTGCACGCACGAACTTGAGGGCATTGAAATTGGGAGCTATAATTATTTGCTTTCGGCAAAACGTTTTTTGCTGATGCACTTTCTCTTGGCATGAAACTTCATTTGTGGCATAGAGTCCCTTTATGATTGAAACTGCATGCCATTGCATGACATCCTACTGCATTGCATAACAATATACTGCATTGCATGGCCTCTTTTTGCATGGTATGTTCTTGCATGCCATCATCTCGCATGGCACTACAGGGATGCATGACTGTGTTTGTGTCGTCTACAGCCCGAACCATTGATCTCGCCACTGCATGGGTTATGGTGAGCACCATGTGTTTGGCTCATGATTGGTACACTTGAACCCATTTCTCAGCGCTGTGTCTGCCATGCTGCTTTTCAATACTAAGGCATTTCTGTTCTGCTACACTTCTGTAACACGTGGCCACTCTCGTTCCCATATTGATTTCACCCACGCTCCCTACTCTTCCACTTCCTCCTCCTGTTCCTCTGCTGCGTTAGTCCACTTCTGTTATTCTCACAGTCTCACCCGGCAAAGCTCAGAAGCTGGTTACCACAATGGACAGGTGAATGCAGCAACCACTGTTTACCTCGTTAGATAGGAGGGATCATGGGAGAGAAATGGGAGTTGAAGGAAGGGAAGGCCAGTTTCGTGCTCTTACCGTTTCTTCCAAGCGACTCGAATTCCCTGACCCCTATCATCCCATCCTCTCCACACATCATCCTCTTTGTCATATGCCCATCACCCCTCTCACACCCTCTGCCAGCAGCGTTGGATGCCAATTTCGTTTTTATCCCACCCATCCCCCTCTTTCATGATTTCATCCCACCTGCATGTTGGCACTGCCTATACCCTTTGTCCTCATGCCCTGCCAGGTACATCTTCCCAGCGGACAAGGTATCCGTGGCGGACATTTCAGAGCAAACGAGGCTGCTTGCCCTCATCGGCCCTCAGGCACCCACGGTCCGTTTCTCTTCTACCTCTTCTCCTTTCTTGCACATGTTTTCACGTTATGACTGTCGATTGTCCATCCTTGCCCGGTTAATTTACATGTGCAGCTCTCATGCTCACCTCTTCACGCACACTTCATCATGCACGCCTGCCGATCCTGACTGGCTGGTCTGCAGGTTGTGGAGAAGCTTGGTCTGACTCAGCTGCTGGGGCAGCCAGAAGGGGCCCACGCACACTTTGCAGTAAGGGTTGCATGCGCACTTTGCTGTGAGGGTTGCATGCACACTTTGTTGTAAGCAGAAGTTTCTTGTGCCGGTTTTGTGAGCTCTCTGACATTGACTGAGTTCTGACGAACCTTTTCCAACGTCATCTCTGAAGCTGTGTTACGAACATTAACTAGCTCCTCCACTCTGATGTGTTTCCACTCCCTCAACTCACCCCTGCCCCCTCCACTTCGTTCGGGCCTTTCCCCTTGCACCTGCCCCTGTGTTCCCCTCCCCCTCCCTCTTCCCCTCTCCGTGGTCCTTCCCTGCGTCCCAGGTTGAGGGAGCGCCGGCAACAGTGGGCGTGGGCAGTGGGCTGGGCGCCTCTGTGCCTGGGTTCCTGCTCATGCTGTCAGCTGACGTGGCGGGTCGTGTGTGGAGCCAACTCACCGACGGCTTTGGGATCACCCCGATTGGTGCAGCCGCGTGGGAGAGAGTGCGAGTCCAGCAAGGTGCTCATGCTCTACAATGCGCTCATGCTTCCGAGACATGCTTGTCCGTCCTTCTCCCATTGACTTCTCCACCTCTGTATCCTTCTGTACCCCTTCTCTGCCTGTAACCCTGCCCGTAGATCTGTCTTGAACTCTGCGCTCACTTCCGCGCTGCTGCCCACCCTGTACGATTTTCTGGAATTCTCAAAGGCCTCTGCCTTCACTTCCTTCCTGGTACCGGCCCTGAGCAGGGCGCCCCATGCCGGGGTCGGAGCTGACAGACGAGTTCAACCCGCTGGAGTCTGCTCTCTTCCAATGCGTCTCCACCACCAAAGGTCTCATCCAACTGCTCTCTGCCAATTGATGCCTTGCACCCTCTCCTTTAAGCCCCATGCTGCTCCTTTGAGCCCCCTCTCTTACCTCCCCTCCGCAGCTCCTGTTTTGAATCAAGGAATTGATGTGTGTTTGTTTATTTGTGCCTGCTCTCATTTTCTGCTGATTACAGGGTGTTACATGGGCCAGGAGACCATCGCTAGGCTGATTACATATGATGGGGTGAAGCAACAACTGTGGGGACTCCGCCTTGCCAACCCAGTCCCTGTTGGTGCACTTATCACAAACAAGGAAGGAGCCAAGGTAATGCCCCCCTACCATTGTCCATGCATTTTCTCCTCCAATGATTATCACAGATCTGACTAAGTCTGTCCGTTTCTTGCAGATTGGCAAGGTCACGAGTTGCGTTCATGGCCCTCATGTTCACGATGGCAAAAGTTCGTGTGAGTACCTTGCCCTGGGATACCTTAAGCGGCAAGAGGGTGGAGAGGGCGCTGTTGTGCTTGTGGAGGGGCAAGAAGCTGCAGTCACTGACCTTCCGTTTGCTCAAAGAAACATCATCTAACTAACCACTCCAATAGCGTTCAATAATCAACCATGATCTATTAAGTGTTTATTGATCCAATTGCCTTGGTGTACCAGTACGTTGCATTATGTTTAGAAGTTTGTATGTACGTGGCCCCTGGTTTAGTGTTCCGTTCAAGTTGCGTTATATTGTGGCGTTTCTCCGGAAAAGCCGGGACATCTCCAGCACCCAGTGCCTTTTTCTGCCCCAGACCGCTTCTGCGCAATCCTTCAAGCCGCAACCTTCTGCTTCCCGTACAACCATAGCCAATCCGCCCGTCCGATGCTCACCTAATTCTCGCTCGTGCCCTCAGATGACGCCACCTGCTACCTAGATTGTATCTTGCGCCATCCGCCATTCGGCCCTTTTCGTGCGCGCAACCACCAGCCGCCAGCTTTCCGCCTGGAAGACTGCGTCTTCGCTCTCGTTTGTGTCACTCTTGCCTCGCTGGAGAAACTTTTCTTCCTTGTCTGCGCATGCCTCCGCTGAGGTCAGTTCTCAGTTCACCTCCAATCTCGCGCACCCCTCGTGGTTGT